TGACATCCCAGTTAATAATAAGCAAGATTTTTTTTTTCTTCATGTTAACTGGTGTTGGGTTGAGGAGGCGGGGGTGGGGTGGAGTGGGGTGTCAAACTGAGTCAATGGAGTCATTGTCTGACCCTCGTGTCTTCGTCCGAAAGTCATCGCTCTCCGAACTCGCGCACCCAGAGCGGCGACGTTTGAAAGGAAAGGAGTTGTTGTGGTTCACTGAGGCTTGTAATCCTGGAGCGGTCTTGAAACAAGCAGGCGAGGTCTCTCTTCTTTTTTTTTTTTTTTTCCCCCTTCCTTCTCTGCCTAGCATACTAAACCAAACCGCATCCACCTTACAACTACTACTGAGTTTGAGGCTCTTTTCACATGTATAAACTGTCCACATAATGGCTGGAGCAGGACATCAGTGAGACTTTGTTCTGAAATGAGCACTGCCCCCTCATTCATGTCAGTTTTACTCTGAAAGTCTTTGCGGTTCTTGTTTTTTGTCTTTTATTTTGACGTTCTCATACGGGTTGTGAAGAGTTTTGTTCCAGAATAAGATCTCTATTAAATATTACGCCTGATTTTTAAACTACAGTTTCTTACACACACAAAAATGTATATACTGGATTTGTTTCAAACCCCTTAGCTATCATATTACACTAACCTGATTTAGAATTAAAGTTTTGAGTGAGGTTTTTTATTTTTTTGTGGATATACAGTGTGGTGTTTGGAATGAAAACCTTCATAGGTGTCATTGCGGTCATGTGGAAACCTCATATCTCCACTAAAAGATCTGATTAAGGTTTATTAGGAGCATTGGTCCTGTTGTATTTTTGTTAACCTAAACACTGATGTATACATTTGTATACAGTTCAGATTTTTAAGGAGGGCTGGAGTCTACCCCAGCTGCTGTGGAGATGGGATTGTAACCCGTGGATTGAACTCGTTCAGATCCACTGCCTGTGATAAGACTGGTGACAGGTCCAGGGTGTACCCCGCTACAACAGTCAGGATAGACTGCAGGCCCGACCACTACCAGAATTCCATAACCAGAAGAAAATTAATGGACTTTCTGGAAGATTTGGAAAGAGTTTGTGTTTATTTTAGATATTAAAACAAAAATCCTATAAAAGCAGGAGAATATGTTTTTGTTTGTTTGTTTTTTACCAAGCCGTAAGATGTGATAGCACCGCTCACAGATGTTCCTTCCTTGTTTATGAATGTATTATTTATCTGGTTGCCGTTAAACCACAATGATGGCACTCATAAATAATGAACTGTATCTGGATGACTCCGACTGCAGAATCTCTCAGATGACGAGGTGAATGTCGAAACACAAAGCTTTTAGTCATAGTTGCTTTTCTGATTGGAAAAAGCTAAACGTACAGCACCAAATGGCAACAGCAGTTGCCTCAAACTTTGGTAAAGACTCAACAACAATACAGAGAAAACCCTAAAATCAGACAAACCCCTATGAGCAAGTATTTGGTGACAGTGGGGAGGAAAAACTCCCTTTTAACAGGAAGAAAAGGCACAAAAGAAAATTTAGGCCTCTGCCTGTTTTTTATAGTTGTGTTAAACATCAACTCAAAGCCTGTTGATAAGTGTCCAGTGCAGCTGAAGCAAGAACCTGCACGTTTCATTGACAGGTTAACCAGAAAGGAAGGAACAGCTAACTAACCAGAGTGTGCTGAAGGTTTTGTAAAATTAAATATCTGTATCAATATACATTTGGAGAGAAATATATCTTTTGTATTTGCATTTAAGCAGATTTATCTTTCTGTTGGTCAGTAAATCAGTGGTAGCTAATTTGAATACATTGATGCTCTGCTGTGGGCAAGGAGCAGAGCAAAGTTATTTCAAGAAGAAATGGTCATTTTTTTATATGTAAATGTTTGCGTAAGGCGAAACAATAAAACATTTAGAGTGAAAAACGAGTCTCCTCCGTATCCAGTTTATTTATGGACCCACATTGAGCTGTGCAATCTGAACCAACATGTCAGGGGATCGAGAGTTAATAAGGGTGAAAAATGTCATTCAAACCCTTTTGTTGAAACATTGAATGCATTAAATTTGTCTATCAGATCTAGAAATACTGAATGTTATTCACACGAGCTGTTCCTGCCACCTGGTGGTGGGGAGTGGAGCTGCTTTTGAGTCCCACGGGGACAGGGTTTAATTTTGACAAATCAGAGCATTAAAAACGGAATAATTAATGTAAATTTGAGCTGTCTAAAGCAAACGTGGCATACTGGACCTGAGGTCTGCATTTTGGACTTTTACTGGTGAGCTTACGACCAAAACTAAAACAGGATGGTAAGTTAAGATGTTTATGCATGAGATATAGTGCAGTTACTTATGAGCTAATGACCATCACCTGGCAAAATGCAAAAACATTTATATTAAATGTTTTCTTTAGTGACTTTCCTTTTTCCTGGTTATGTTGAGGAAATGGAAGCATTTTGTTCACACTTTATGGCCTTCAGGAAACTTTGCATATGTTGTGGCAAAGAAAAAACAAGGCTGTTACACACTAAAGTCTACCCTGACTGTCTGGTCTATACATATGTAATTCTTCCATTTTTATTTGATTTATTTAAAAGTTTCTTGATACTAACTTTTCCTAGATTCTTAGAGCAATCTGGGAAATTGGTGGAAGCTCATTTGGCACACTGATGATACTGACTGTAAGCTAGTTTTTGGTTCTCGTGCATCACAGTGTGCTAAGTAGGGTTTGACCTTTGACCTGGAGAGGGATCGATTCTTTGTTGGAGCTGAAGCTTACAGCCCTCTTAACCTTGCTGCACCACGGGGGGGTAACATCATCCATCAGATGTTATCGGTGGTATATCAGAAGGTACCTCACTGCTCTTTTCTTTTGTGAAAAGGCAAACCCGAGTGGGCACTGTGTAGATGGAGCTTCTTGCCTTCTCCTTCCTCTTGCATTATGTTCTGAGGGTTCCTCTTCTCCACTTAAGATTTCTTCCATTGTTTTCTGCTACCATCTTTTCTTCATCGGATCACCCGTTTTCTCTAGTTTATTCTCCAGCTCCTATTTTGGATTCAGGAGACAGGCACCTTCTCTACTTTTAAGATTAGGCTTAAAATTTTCCTTTTTTCACACACCGAGAGTTTGGATCAGGTGTGTCCTAATCCCAGATCTTACTATATTTTTTTGGACTTGACATTCATAGTTTTGTTTGCTCAAGAAGTTTGAAGATCAACAATCTTTAGTTGTTGTTATAATTCAGTCTATAATTTACCCTCTTGTAACTTTGCTTCTACTCTGTAGTGTTATATTAATACAGTACTATATTACCTGTGAACATAATCCAAGAAGTTAATCATTTCTCAGCACAAAGAAACTGGGAAGACGGTCAAGTAATATATAAACCCTAGAAGCATTGTTTTGGCTCAAAGGTAAAAGGGTTTAATGGCAGTAGTTTTATTCTCGTTGTTAAATACATAAAAATAATTTAACCTTATAAGTATAATCAGGAAGCTCTACCTAAAATGTACCATTGAGGTAGAAAGTTAAACGGCTTCATGGTCCAACCACTTTCTGCAGGTCTTCTACCAACAGGAATCATTAAACATGGAGAAAGTACAGTCTTTTAAAGAGAGATGTAAACATATAAAAACCTCACTGCTTTTTAAAAATAATATATTATTTCTTGTTAGATTGCCTGCTTATGTTGTACATTTGTTCTTTGTGAAAATGCTTTTAATGCTTTTATTGTGCATCAGCTTTGACTCGTTCACAGAATTATGTTTTAATCTGCTACATCTTTTCTAACTTTGATCACTCGAGAAAAGTTGATTAAGTTTGACCGACATGAGCTGTGACACTGGCACACAACGGCAAAAGTCACTGTATCCTTGGACGAATAATGAAGAATAGTTATTTAAAGTAGTCTCCTAGGTAGGTCACACCACTGACTTCTGACCTTTAACTATACCATGTGAAAGAAAGCTTCTTTTTTTTTTTTTAAGGTAGCCAGAGCATTTACTCTTGTTGCTGGTTAATAAATAGAAAACTCGTTCCTCTAATAACTGTTAAATCTGCAGGATCTAAGATCAGATGATTAGTCACTTAAAAAAATAATAAGGGTCCATGCCAAGCTTGAAAAATGATCCTCGCTGTCACTTGCATATTCAAATAAGCATTTTCATAGGAGAAACAAATTATGTGCATCTACACAAAATCATTCCCAATAATAAGAACGCATCGTGAAGGTAAGATGACTTTGAAACTGGAAAAGCAAGCGTCTTCAGATTTTTGTTTCCTCGGGAGAATCTCATTCATTTCTGTTTCATTTCAGGCGCAGACGATCAGTGAGAACCTCTTACTGCTTCAAAATGCTCTCTCAGAATCTAACCTTAAACTCCAGCGAGCCTTTGGAGAGCAAGTGGGGACACTGTGTAGACGTAACACCAGGTATTATAGTCTGGGTGTTTTTCAGCGCTCTCTTCTCTCTGGTTGGATTTCCTGCATGTGCTGCTGTTCTCTGGGAGCTGTTTCAGAGACACAGAGCTGGAACCTCGATCACCCCTAATGATGTTTTCATGATCAACCTCACCGTCATGGACCTGGTCTTCCTATTTTTTGTCCCACTTGGCCTGACTAACTTCCTTCTCTGGCACATCATGTCTTTCCAGAGCTTCATCAGTTTTCTCTATGCTCTAAACCTGGCTGGACGACCTCTTCTAACAGCATGCATCTG